TGTTATTTGACTTTGCTAAAAAGAGTATAGCTTTCTATGGGGACAAGGTGAGATTTTAAGGAAGTTGAATTTAGTAAAATTTTGTCTGCATGTGTGGCAATAATAAAGTTACTTTCTTTTTCATTGAATAGTTTAGGCTAAAAAGTTTGTCCTATAGGTAAAATTTGCAAAGGTTTTCCTATTCTGGTAATTTGGAAAGCAGTAATAAATTCTATTAGCTATGAGTAGTAAATTTGATGAGGTAAGTAGTAAATAGTACTAGTTGATTTTGTATTGAAATAACAACTATTGGTTTGAGAACGACTATATTTGTCTTGGTAATGACTATATTTGTTTGGACAATAGTTTTTAGGTAATATGTTAATGAAATTTACTACATTAGTTAGTGGAATTGACTACATTTATCAATGAAAATGACTAGATTTGTTATTGGAATGACAACATTGTTGTGATGCAAATTCAATTGACTGGACAATGATATTGATGTGATATGTCAATAAAATCTACTACATTTGTTAGTAGAATTTACTACATTTGTTAATTGATTGGACAATGGTTTTTAGGTGATATGTTAATGAAATTTACTACATTTGTTAGTGGAATTGACTACATTCATCAATGAAACTAACTAGATTTGTTATGGGAATGACAACATTGTTGTACTGCAAATTCAATTGATTGGACAATGGTATTTAGGTGATATGTTAATGAAATTTACTATATTTGTTAATGGAATTGACTACATTTGTTAATTGATTAGATAATGGTATTTAGGTGATATATTAATGAAATTTATTACATTTGTTAATGGAATTGATGACACTATTATGAAAGAAATATATTATAATAAATGACTAACAAATGGTCTCATTGCAATAGGGAAAATGGTATTAGAAGTAGAAGGAGAAGGAGAGGCAAGTGGACAAGTGAAGAATGTGTATATGTTGTTTCTCCATGAATTTAAGTTAGGGAAAGAGTTTAGGAATAGGAGACAAAAAGTTAGGGAGGTAGCAAAGGCATGGAGGGAGCTGTCACCAGAGGAGAGGAAGAAATATAATGATAAAGTTAACAAACCAAAGAAGTAAGGGAAGAAGAAGAAGCAGATGAAAAAAGTTGCTTTTAACACCCGTTGCTCGGTTCAACAATATAAGTCATTGGTGGAATTTATAAATAGCAATGAAAGATTGAAAGCCAAGGTACAAAGTTTAGGATTCTCAAGTTTGCTTGACATGGGATGTAAGAGACTGCCTCGTGACCTCATAGTATGTATGCTTTGAGCATATGATCCACCTACCCATCAATTTACAATGAGGGGGGAAATCAAGGAAATTGATGCAAAAGATATTGTAAAGTTGTTGGGTGTACCCCACACAAGGGAAAAGGTAAGAACAGATGTGGATGATGATGATGAAACATATAAGAGGTTGAAGAATGAATATGGTAAAGTCTTTTTTATCAAGATACTCAAAGACATTAAATCTAGGGAGAATGAAGAGAACTTTGAGTTCTTGTTCATGTTGTACACACTCGGGAGTTTTCTAGCTTGCTACCTCACAAACAACAGTGAGTGACAAGCTAGTAAGGGTGATGTGTTGTGCTATGAATGGATTTTGCCGATTTGATTGGGCCACATACATTGTGAACAACTTGTGGAAAGAGATGGAAGATTATGTCGAAGTGTATAGAAACGTAAAGGAAGACAATGAAGGGAGTTGCAACGCCGAAGGATGCATCTACCTCTTATTGATATGTATTTATTACCTTTGTTTTTTGTTGTATGTTTAAATGGAGTGATGATAAAATTAATAATTTGATGCCGCAGTTATATCTTGCTGAGCACTTTCTATTATCTAAATCTAGTAGACATAGGTCAATAAATGCTATTCAATTTTGGACTAATAAAAGAATAAAAGAGATGACAAAGAAAGAAAGACGGAGCCGTAGAGGCTTATTGTATAAGGGGAAGGGCTCTAAAATTAGGGTTGAGAATGAGGAGAAAACAAGGAGAAGTCTCACTGACTTACACCTAGTGTGTGCTTTGCTTGGTAATTTCAATGTGCATTAACAAGAAAAAGTGTTTGACCTTTTTTAATAATGTGATGCACGAGTTGTAGAGCTTACATCAAAAGTTGATGGCTGTAATTGATTTAAGCTACAAGAGGCTTATTAGTGCAGTAGAGGAGGAGCTCCATAAGGTGCAGATTGTAAAACCCTTAACCTTAAAACATTATAACTTAATAGCCTCTTTTGGGTTGATTTTGAGGATAAATTAGCAATTTAATCTTGATCTTGGTGTTTGGGTTGAATTTGAGGTTTGTTGGAGGAATAGATGAACGTACCCCTCTCAGGGCTCGCCGCGGCGCACCGGGAGTTTCAGAGGGAGTGCTTTTCGAGAAGGTTTTGGCCGCGGCGAAGTCTTGGGACGCCGCGGCGAAGTTGTTCTGGTGAGCGAGGCTTCCCTTTCGGAAAGGTTTCGCCGCGGCGAAGGTAGGGGCATGCCACGGCGAAATTCTTCTGGGCGAGCGAGAGTTTCCTCTTGGGAAGCTTTCGCCGCGGCGAAGTCGAGTTTTCACAGGCGTGGGCCCATAACCCACAGGTCCCAGGATCGAAACCTGGCTCTGATACCAATTGTAAAAACCCTCTACCTCAGACATTTTAACCCATCATAAAACCTCTACTATGGTAGAAAAGGAGAGCTGTTAAAACGAGCTACCATAGTAGAAGGAAATTTTATATTTTTAGAATTGACTTTCAAGCTCGGGTCAACCCGTAAGACGTTGCATGCAACTAAAATAATCCATTCATATCCACTGGGCCTCCGAGCCTCCAGCCCGGGTAACACATACATCAAGATCAGCCCATCTAAATAGTTTTCAACCATATAATCCAGAGTTCATCAAACACTAGCAATGGCCTCCGGCCAAACAAAATAAGGAGATACATTCTCTCCAGTTTACAACAAGGCCGGGTAATCAAATATATCAAAAAGCAGTCCTAAATGTGGCAATATATACTAGTCATACATATACAAATGCTAGAGGCCTAAAGCTAACCAAGCTCAAGCCTCTGCATCTCTTCCCGATGGCCCACGCCTGGAACCTTTACCTAAAAACATTGTAAACCACAGGGTGAGACAAAGTCCCAGTAACCAACCTTTCCAATACTAGGTACTACTAAATAGGTGCTCGTGAGGTGTCAAGTGGGGCAGTTCACAAATAATATATAATGATAGCCACAACAATTCATGTAAGTGCAATGATGCAATCCCATCAACCAAATCCCTCACTTTGGGGGATTTTTAGGAGCCGAAGCCGGCCTATCCCTCACTATGGGGGACGTAAGGAGCCATAAAAGGCCTATCCTCACTCTGGGGGACGTAGGGAGCCAAAAGGCCTATCCCTCACTATGGGGGACGTACTAAGCCAACCATCATGCATTAATGGAGGCCTTACCACGTGGTAGTAACAGACAAAACTCTCACCAATTCCCAATTAATGCATCATGCTCAAATCATAATCAAAAGTAATAATCATTTCACAATTAACCTCATTCAGTGGCATATCTTTCACAATTCCAAAATTCATTCATCATTAGTCGAAACCCCACAAGACGGTTTTCCTTTTTGTACACAACATACAGTTTGAACATAATTACTACTTAGAGCACAAAACATAAATCTACTCACAATACCACAGAAGCAAGTACTAAGGATTGGAAAGTGGTTACCTCTCGCCTGAGCAAGGAACAACAAACCAACGATGTGGCCCGTGCACCACCAAGACTCACAACCGGTCTACACAAGCACACAAACACACAACCATCATATATTAGCTTTCAAACTAATAATGTGGTCAACAACAACACTTGGAGACACAAAATTCCTATCTCCCATCAAAACTCTACCCAACTCAAAGGGTATAACTATCAAGGCAACACTCCAAGTCATACCAATCTATTAAACCTTAATTCCTTTCCAAACATCAATTAGATTCACAACCTCAAGGACCCACTATGGAATTCTACACCCAAACATCCCATTTGAGCAATTAAGGTCCAACAACAATTCTAAACCGATTAAACATCCAATTTAACCCTCCTTAACATAACCCAAAACACAAAACTCAAATCAATCTCTACATTATCATCCTCAATCCCAAATCATCCAATTCCATAACCCTACTCCAAAAACTCAAGATTCTTTAAATCCAAGAAAACTACACCGATTAAATACTTAAACTAACCAAATGCAATCAATTAAACCCAAAACAATCGGTCAAAAACCTCAATTCTAACACAACCTAGAAAATCCTAGGGTTCCACCAAAAATCCTCAGAAATTCCAAGAAATTCCAAGAAAGAAAGAAGATTAGAAGTTAAAATCACTTACTTGAGGTAATGGATCCTTAGAAATGCCCCTCCAAGCCAAAATACCGAAACCCTAGCAGAGCCTCTCTCTCTACCTCCTCAGATTTTCTTATTTTTCGCACGCTGAACTGCTCCCCGAATATATAGATTCGCGACCTTTCGCCGCGGCGAACTAATCCCGAGAGGGATTACTCGCCTGAAAACCGACTTCGCCGCGGCGAAAGCTTCCCGAGAGGAAACTCTCGCTCGCCCAGAAGAATTTCGCCGCGGCATGCCCCTACCTGCGGCGAAACCTTCCCGAAAGGGAAGCCTCGCTCACCTGAACAACTTCGCCGCGGCGTCCCCAAGACTTCGCCGCGGCCAAACCTTCCCGAAAAGACACTCTCCCTCTGAAACTCGGTGCGCCGGCGAACATACCCTGAGAGGGTACGTTCACCTATTCCTCCAACAAACCTCAAATTCAACCCAAACACTAAGATCAAGATTAAATTGCTAATCTATCCTCAAAATCAACCCAAAAGAGGCTATTAAAACCCGATAAGACTTAGGATGTTACAATTCTCCCTAACTAAGGAATTTTGTCCCCAAAATTCAAGCAATCACACAAACACCACACAAACAAACACAAAACACTTACTAAGAAAACAAACGAGGGTAATCACGTCGCATCCTTTCCTCTGTCTCCCAGGTGGCATCACCAGGACTCATGCCCTTCCAGAAGACTTTCACCAATCGAATGGTCTTATTCCTCAACTGCTTGTCCTTCACATCAAGGATCCTTTCCGGTTCAGCCTGGTAAGTTAGATTGTCATCCAGCTCCACCTCCTCAGGCTCTAAGATGTGAGACGGATCAGGGTGGTACTTCTTTAGTTGGGACACATGAAACACATCATGTACGTTGGACAGGTGCGGTGGCAAAGCAACACGATAGGCTACTTCTCCAATTTTCTCCAGAATTTCAAAGGGTCCAAGAAATCTAGGAGATAACTTTCTCGCTTTAATGGACCTCCCAATACCAGTAGTAGGCATGACCCTCAAAAACACATGGTCACCCTCACAAAATTCCAATGGTCTCCTCCTCCTATCAGCATAACTCTTTTGCTAGCTCTGAGCTGTCAACAACTTCTGCTTGATGACCTCAATCTTCTTTGTGGTGGCATCTACCAAGTCTGGTCCTAAAACCGTTCTCTCACTTAGTTCCGTCCAACAAAGAGGTGATCGACACTTCCGGCCATAGAGTGCTTTATAAGGGGCCATCTGGATGCTGGCATGGTAGCTGTTGTTGTAGGCAAACTCAGCTAAGGGTAGGTGATCAATCCAACTCCCCTTGAATTTAATGGCACAAGCCCTCAACATATCCTCTAACATCTGAATTGTCCGCTCGGTCTGTCCATCGGTCTATGGGTGATATGCCGTACTGAACTTCAACTTAGTACCCAAAGCCGCATTCACCGCTTTCCAAAAGTTAGAAGTAAAGCGCAGATCTCGGTCCGAGACTATACTCGACGAAACACCATGAAGCCTGACGATTTCATCCATGTACAACTTGGCCATTCTCTCCAAGGTATAATTGACTTTGTAGGGTAAAAAGTGAGCAGATTTTGTCAATCTGTCCACCACCACCCAAATAGCATCATACCCTTCGGTGTCCTCGGCAAACCTACAATGAAGTCCATGGAGATGCTGTCCCACTTCCACTGAGGAATTTCTAGCCCTTGTAACAAACCTCCAGGTCGTTGATGCTCTATCTTGACCTTCTGGCAAGTCAAACACCGAAGTACGAAGTCAGTCACTTCCTTTTTCATGTTGGGCCACCAATACTACTGCTTTAGGTCGTGGTACATCTTGGTTGCTCCGAGGTGGATGGCGTAACGGCTTCGAAGAGCCTCCTCTAGGATAGTTCTTTTAATCTCCTCATCTTGGGGAACACAAATCTGGTTCTTATACTTCAGGATGCCCATATCTCCAAGTTCATAGTCCTGTACTGGGCCATCCTCCAATTCTACCCGAATCTTTGCCAACTGATCATCTTCCCATTGAGCCGCTCGTAAATCTTGATAGAATTCATAATCTCCAAGCACTGCACATAAGGTAGCCTGCTCCGATGGTACAATTGGGATCTCTAATAACTCCTCGAGCAAGAATTGTTCCTTTAAACTTATGCAAAACACATGCACTGCTTTTCTACTCAGAGCATCTGCTACCACATTTGCCTTTCCAGGATGGTACTTAATCTCAAAGTCATAGTCCTTCAGGAACTCCATCCAACGACGTTGCCGGTTGTTCAACTCTTTCTGATCCACCAAGTACTTCAAACTTTTATGGTCACTGAAGACTTCAAACTGGGAGCCATACAGGTAATGCCTCCAGATCTTTAGTGCAAAAACTACTGCCGCTAGCTCCAAGTCATGGGTTGGGTAATTTTCCTCATGTGGCCTTAGCTGCCTGGAAGCGTATGCCACCACCTTATTGTTCTGCATTAGCACACAACCCAAACCCTTTAGTGACGCATCGATGTAAAGCACATAAGGTACTCCGGGGATTGGAAGAGTAAGCACTGGAGCTGTAGTCAACTTGGTCTTCAGCTCTTGGAACGCTGATTCACATTTCTCCGTCCAAACAAACGGTTGATCCTTCTTGGTTAACTTGGTCAACGGCATTGCAATCTGAGAAAAGCCTTGGATGAACCTCCGATAGTATCCAGCTAATCCCACAAAACTCCGTACCTCGGTTACCGATTTAGGGACTTCCCACTTAAGTACTGCGTCCACCTTGTTAGGATCCACTGCTACTCCCTGAGCTGACACCACATGACCCAAGAACTTCACTTCTTTTAACCAAAACTCGCACTTTGACAGCTTAGCATACAACTGGTGATCCCTCAATATCCGTAGTGTGATGTGAAGATGCTCTCGATGTTCTTCCTCACTTCTAGAATAAATCAGAATGTCATCGATGAACACTACCATAAATCTGTCCAAATAAGGTCGGAAGATCCGATTCATGTAGTCCATAAAGACAGCTAGAGCATTTATCAATCCAAAAGGCATCACCAAAAACTCATAATGTCCATAACGAGTTCGAAAAGCCGTTTTTGAAATGTCCTCTGTTCGTACCCTCAACTGATGGTATCCTGATCTTAGATCAATCTTAGAGAAAACTGATGCTCCGACTAATTGGTCCAATAGGTCATCAATTCTAGGCAACGGGTACTTGTTCTTGATTGTGACCTTGTTTAGTTGTCGGTAGTCGATACACAACCTCAAGCTACCATCTTTCTTCCTCACAAACAAAACCGGCGATCCCCACGGTGACACACTTGGTCGGATAAGTCCCTTTTCTAGCAATTCTTCTAGCTGCTTTTTCAACTCAACCAATTCTGAAGGAGACATTCTATAGGGAGCCTTGGAGATTGGGGTGGTTCCCGGAACCAACTCTATGGAGAACTCCACTTCTCGCTCTGGAGGTAGTCCTGCAACCTCATCCGAAAACACTTCGGGGTAGTCCCTCACCACATCTATCTGTTCAATTCCTCCTGCCTCATCCTCACTAATTGAAAAGAAGACAATGAAGGCCTGGCACCCTTTCCTCACCGCCTTCTCTACTTGAGCAGCTGACAACAAAACCGGACCACTTGACATTTCAACACATAAGGCACCTACCGGGATTGTCACCAACCTCCTTTTACAATCAAGGATTGCTCCATTGGCCATCAACCAGTTCATGCCAATAATCACGTCGATACCTTTCAAAGGTAGATAGAACAAATCTATTGTAGAATCTCGACTCTCAAACTGAAGTGTAAGCTCTAGACACGCTCTTCCAGTTACAACAGTGACTCCAGCAGGAGTAGACACTCTTAAGTCATAAGGTAGCTCAACCACAGGCATGCTCAACTTCTGAGCATAGTCCACAGAAATAAAGGAGTGCGTAGCACCCGAGTCAAACAAAGCAGAAATAACATGTCCCTCAAGTATAATGTTACCTTGAATCAAGTTCGGAGATGCAGAAGCCTCCTCATTTGTCATCGCATAGACTCGCCCTGGAACAGTAGAACGACTAGCTGGAGGTGTCGACTAACTCTCTGGACAGTTTCTGGCAATATGTCCCCACCGGTGGCATCGAAAGCACTCCCAACATTGCCCCGCATGCCTACCCCCGCATCTAGGGCACGGTCCAGTAACACTCGGGGTGGTCACTGATGAATCTCGACGGGAGCCCTGTCCCCCACCAGTCTGATTGTTTGGATTCTGGTGCCTCTGCATAAAGCCCCTCTGAGCATTCGCCCTCTGATTCTGCCCTTGATTCCTATTTCTCCCTGAGAGGGGTACGTTCACCTATTCCTCCAACAAACCTCAAATTCAACCCAAACACCAAGATCAAGATTAAATTGCTAATCTATCCTCAAAATCAACCCAAAAGAGGCTATTAAAACCCGATAAGACTTAGGATGTTACACAGATGACAAGGAAAATTGTACTATGAGAGATGAGGGCACTAGTGAAGTTGGAGATGAATATAAGGGAGAAAATGAAGTTGATGATGGTGATGATGATAATGAGGAAGGTGATGATGATAGACAAGACTCAGGTCACCTACATCATCATGGAGATGACTTGGACGAGGCCACATGATTAATGTTGAGGAAGAAGGAATACAAGTAGGAAATATGGATTCCCCTAAAGTTTCCCCCATGGACAAGGCTGTACAACCCAGGAGATCACAGAGGGAGATAAAGTCGACCATAAATTCTCCATGGATTTTGACAAGGCCTATTAAGAGGAAAAAGAGGAATTTGAAGGAAAAGGACAAGTTTTTTAACATGATATCCCGTATGTGTTCAAGTCAGGATGGTGACAGGTAAGTTACTATTCGCATAACTGTGAATGATATTACTTATAGTTCGTTTACTAATTAACTACACACATAATGATACTGGGAACACATTTTTAGGCCTTTAGTTAAAATATTTGATAAGGATATCACTCGAGATCAGTTAAGGACACTTGGAGGAATTGAGAAAATAGGTAATCGGGTAAACTAGTATTGTGGTCTTGGGCTGAGTAGTATAACTTTTATATTTGATGCTCATGTATACCTTTGGAAAAAACTAAAATTTACTTGCATACAGCTCATGTCAGTTGTGTGCAAGACTTTAATGGCTGGTATGAAGAGCAAAGGAGAAGTGAAGCGGCACATATTTGATGCTGACTTTATGGTAAGGTTTATAAGATGTTTACAAAACTATTGCTGGTACATGACTAATATGTCAATGTTGTAGACAATAATGGCTGTGAACCCATCTTGGTGAGATGCTACAAAACGACAAAAGCAATTTTCACCTGAATATGTCGGTTATGATATAGGAGACTATGACTTGATTTTTGGACCTACACTTGTTAGGACTCACTGGTTTTGTCTTGTGCTTGAGCCTAAGATAATGAATTTCTATGTGCTAGATTCAATGAAGCCACGTTTTGCTGAGAAGAAGAGTAAGAAGAAAGGTGCAGCTGAAGGTGATATGATGACTGTGGTCACCGAATGTGTAAGGATATTGTTACTCTTCTTACGTAAGATGCTGTTTGTTTACCAATTTATTTACAAATGCAAGTATGTGTTGTGCAAAGGAATTGATTTTATGAAATGATTGATATAGTAAAGTCCAATACCATTGGGAAGAAAAAAATGAGTGACATTATTTGGGCCCCTGTTCCTCAACAAAACAATTTGTAAGTGGTTTAGGTTGTTGATATAATAATGTATGAATGGTACTTTGTGTTTGACTCATAGACATTGTTGCATGTGCAGGCAAAACTGTGGCATTCATGTTTTAATATGATTGAGCAAATGGGAGCCCGGTGTGATGCTTGACTATAATGAAGAACATGTTGCTGATTTTTGACGAAACCTAATTTGGTGGATTGTTAATCATGAGCTCAATTCAAGGCGTGAAGAAGCATTGACATTGATGTCATCTCCACAACCTGCAGCAAGGAAAAAGCAACGTGTGTCACAGTAGTAAATTATAC